CCCCATGCAAACCCCCCGCACACGCCCCCTCAAACCGAAAACCAACACAGGTCGGCGCCGTCGGCTTCTGCATGGGCGGCGCCCTCACGTTCGCCGCGGCGCAGCACGCGGGCGTCGACTGCGCGGCGCCGTTTTACGGCACGCCCGACCCGGCGGTCTGCACCCCCGATGAGATCAAGGTCCCGGTGCAGGCGCACTTTGGGTGAGGCTGTTGCTCTTCCCGTCTTTCTTGTTCGCGTATCATCCCTGCTGTGCGTTTCGCGCGCGGCAGGGCCGTCTCGCCTTGCTGGCCCCTGATTTGCATACCGTCATACGTGCACACACCAGGCCTGCGGCTGAGATTTGGATCCCTTTCTTGGCCGCCTGTTTCGAAGTGCTTGCGCCTCTGCCCGGGCCCTCCAACACAGCCCGGCACGACCGCCCTCGACGCCGGCCAAGAACGCACCCAGCCCACGCCCACCCGCCCTGCCGCCCTCGCGCCCCTCCGACCGCCGTTGCCTCTCACAGCAAGCTGGACACGTTTGTCGGCTTCAGCGACCCCCGTGAGCGCGCTTCCCGGCCCAATCCCCCCCTTTTTTTTGAAATTGCCCGCGGCGTGCGCCGGCAAACCGCGCCAGCGGCGGGGCTTGCTGGCGTGCCACGCGCCTGCTGGGGGCTTTGCCGCGTGCCGCGCCGGCGCGTGCTGGGCCCAGGGGCTCCCGTCGCGCCCTGCCTTTTGCTTTGCACTGCGTTTTTCCAATCAGCCTGTGTGGGAGACTGCACGGGCCCCGGCTGGCTTGCAGTTGGCCCGCTGCACGTCGCCACTTGCCGCACACGACGGAACTTTGTCCCGCTGGGCCGGCCCCCAGCCAGCCATGCCCCCTGCTGACTCGGCAAGCTCTGCAGCGGCCCGCACCCTCCAAGTCACCCCTGCACCCCCGCCCCCGCCCAATCCTTGCGCCAGCCACCATTGAGAAGGTGTATGAGAAGATGAAGGGGGCCGGGTGCAATGTGGAGCTCTTCACGTGAGGCGCATGCTGATTGTTCCTTCTACTGTCTGGAGGGCGGCGTTGTTTGTGCGCGCGTGTGTGTGTGTGTGTGTGTGTGTTGGGGGGGTGAGAAAAGGCTGCGAGGAGGGATTTATGTGAAGGGAGGCTGCATGAATTGAGGGGTGCCTGCATGAAGGGGTTTCGCGCCTTTATGAGGATTGAAGGCCGGCGGCAGTCAGAGGCTCAGCGCGATTTTAGCAGCGGAACTGGCCTGCTCATTATTGCCTAATGTGCAACCTGTTCTTTATCTCCAACAATCTGACAGGTACGACGGGTCTGGCCATGCATTCATGAATGCCCTCACCGAGTCCGGGCGCCAGAAGATCAAGAGTGAGTGTGCGCAGCCCCCGATCACACCACCCGTGTGCGACCCGCATCCTGAGGCGGGCAGGCGACGCAGGCGCGGGGCGCCGCCGAGCGGCTGCGGTCGCGGCGCGCAGGGTGATTGCTTTGTGAAAGGGTGCTGCGCCGCGGGCCCCATCTAGCCTGGGCCTGGGCGTGAAGTGCCGACATGGGCAGCGAGACACTGCTGCTGGCTGTCTTTCCTGCCTTTCATATTTAAGTCCCAGGTTGTCAGGAACTATGGCGCCTGGAGCACCTGGCACAGCATCCATCGTTTCAGCCCTGCTCAGATTGCAGTGTCAGCGAGCCCCTCTGAAGCCTACACACTGCCACCTGCCCCTGCCCGCACTCGACTCAACCCTGCGCAGCCATCGGCCAGGCGTCGCCGCCGGAGGAGGAAGTCAAAGCGGCGTTTGACCGGCTGATCTCGTTCTTGAAGAAGCACCTCGCTGAATGATCTGGCTGGCCTGGCAGCTGACACGTCGCGCGGACTGCAGGCTTTCTAGCTTACTGCCGTGAGCGTTTGCAGCATGCGTTGGCTGGAGCGGGCTGCAACAACACATGCTTTGCATGTTGGCTGTGGGTCGGGGCAGCAGAGTGCGCTCGCATCCACTTTCAAATGGGAATACATGAGTTGGGGAAGCCCAGCTGATCAGCCGCTAGTGGCTGCAGTGCATTGCTGGCTTTGACAATTGTTGATGCAAGTTGAAGAAAGCTCTTGCTTCCTGGCTGCAATGCCTCCTGATTGTAAAATGCATGCTTCAGTCGCTTTGCACGCGCGATTGCGCCGCGGCCCTCTGCAGCTTATGATATCGGATCGACCAGCAGAGCGCACGTTGCAGGAGGCGCGCTGAGCCACTGCATGCAGTATCAGCAATTCGGGTTGAGCGCACTTGTACCCTCCTGTATGTTTGCAGATCTTTGTCGGTGTGCGTAGACTTTCTGAGGCTTTGTGGGGCGTGGGCCAGTGTGGTACGTACGCGTTTAGGTGCGCACCACAGCCATGGGCAAGCATTGATAACTTTACAAAGAAAAGCACAGGAACCCAAAATTAATACAAGTCACTTAAAAGCTGCAGGAATGCTGCCCGCTCAAAGGACCTGCTTTTGCTGAACCTGCTGTGGGGGTCAGCACGAGCAGCTGCAGAAGCGGCTGCTCGGCTCCTTGGCGGCAACTCGTGCATAGGCTTTTTTCTTCATTCATGATAGCCCTCGCAAATATACTACACACCTTGATTTGTTGTTTTATACAACGATAGCAGCCAAAGACACAGCGAAGCAGACACCTGCACAGGTCGAAGCCAAACTTGCTGGCACTTGGCGCGGAGCGAGGAGGGACCCCCACATCAAGGTGCTTGAGTGAGATTATGTCATTTGTGCCCCGCCTTCGCAGCCCCGCATGCAGCCTGCAGGCAGACCCGGGCCCCGAGGTCTTGACATGTCCGCTTTTGCGCGCAAACACCAGCGCGAGGAGCCTTCAACAGCGAGTTTGAAAGCGACGAGAACGATCACTGAAACAAGAAGAGCCACCTACATGCTTGCGACGAACGTCGCAGCCTCGAGCGCGGCGCAGGTGTTGCTGCTCGTGCTGCAGCAGCACAGCAGCGGCAGCAGCAGCAACAGCAGCGCCTCTATCAAAACATCCCCTTACACCCAGGGCGGTGTGCATTGCCTCCAAGGTGCATGGCGTATACCCACAACTGCAACCACTTACAACCTTCATCCCAGGCGCTACCACTGTCATCAGAAGCTTGGCACTGCATCGTCACCGCCCGCGCCCATTACGTCCAGCCCTGTCTAAGGGGCCACCTATCTCCTATGCGCCTTACCGGCCCGCCCGCCCGGCGT